AAAAAAAAATTAGTAATTTTTTTTTAAAATGTGTAAATTTTTTATTTTTTTATTTTTTTTACGTTTTAGCCCCATGTCCAATTTTTTTCTAGATTCGCCCCTGTCAGCCAAAATAAGTTGAACGTTGTTCTGCAATTCGATAACCTTATCTCCTCAGATTAAATATATTTAATCGCAATAATAGAACTTAAAAGAGTTACAAATCATAACAATTACTTGGCCACCTTGAAAATTAACGGGCCTACTGCTTTTAGTGGTTTACTGAAAATATTGATTATGACGTGTCATCCAATAGCACGCCTTCACAGGTGACACCCATACTTATCAGTAATCAATGTTATGAAAATAATTTTTTGTCCAAATGCAGGAACATAATTTCTTTAAATGCAAATATGAAATATCCATTGGGATTCAACCTTGATATACATTTACATCAACATCACGTTAAGGGATAAAACTCTACATCGAATAAAGATAAAAATATACACAAACTTACAATAACTATTTCTCTTAACAATATTGATATTTTAAGATGAACCCCAAGTCTTTATATCGTTTCAGAGCCCATTAAATGCCAACGAGTGATTCGATCCGTTTAAGATTCAAACAAATGAGCATGCAAACGGATAAAATTTCATATTGAATAAAGATGAAAATATAGATCGACTTATAAGGGTTTGAGCTACTCTCAACAAGGTTGACATTTTTAGATGAAACTCTCATTCTTCATTGTATTGAAAATTATTTGAAATTCTTCTCATCAACTGCTTATTTACATCCCAATCCCCAGTGCTTAAACTGAGAAAAACTGAAGAATTTGAATAACTAGGGGAAAAATATAACTTGATTCTTTTGAGATGAAAATGGGTGACGCCTTTGCTTGAATTCCTCTAAGAGGCTGCTAGTCTCACACCGACGCTGCCGGAATGAGACTAATACTTTCTTGGTGGAAATTTCAGTTTCTTTCATTTCATCCATATAAATTTGCCTACTCCTGCATTCCACACTGCAAAAACCCTGATCACCCCTGTACATGTACACTTCTTTATCAAGACTCAAGTGCTTGTTGCAAAGGAAACACGATTTCAGAAAGGAAGAATCGAGAGAGGGAGGTTGTATTTGATTCAGATAAAAACTGGGATTTATCAGTTTTGAACTAAACTTGAATACAACATTGGATTCACCATTGGGGAGCTGCGTAAGGATTCTCAAGCCTTCATCTGGCTCTGAACAACCCTTACATGATCCTACAATGGCAGATCTTTTTTTCCTCCATACAATTGACAGCATCTTCAACTCTGAGTGTGTGTATGAGAGAGAGAGAGGGAGATGAAGGTTGTGAGATGGATATTTAATGTCACTCACACCTATTTGGTCAAGACAAGAACAGTAAATTTGTATTATAAACGTGCGTTTGTTAGGGCATTTGTAAATTCTAATTACATAGTTATATAAATAATAGTATTTAAAAAAAGAGTCAAAACGAGACTTACCACGTGAAACTTGTCCTCGATTTCTAAAATGTATTAGAAAATTGATTAAATCCATTCAAAGTTGTCAAAGTGGAAAAGTGATTGCTCGACTTACCAAAACTTGCAAGAATTAAAGGACCGTTTGATTTTGTAAAAAGTTAAATGAAATGATTAATAAAAAAGTAAATAAGTTGTGATAGGAGAAAAGTAAAAAAGTTAAATGAAATGTTTAGTATGCGCTCAATGAAATGTGTGATTCCCAAATGTCTGGCTTAAGCGTGTATAAGTTGTGATAGCATCCGATTTATCCGGATAGCGAAGAAGATCGCCACTTCTCAAAATTAGTTGGGCAAAACTTGAATACCCAAGTTATCAGAAAAAGATGCCTTTTGATAAACTTTTTAGCAAATAAAAATTTTACCGAACAATCACTAAATTGAATAAACAATTAATGAAAAATGATATTGAGCTTGATGTACATCTAACATGAAAAAACTGTAGGATAATTGTTTCAAAATCGAATATCAGATTTACAGATTGAATATCGTATAATAAACTGTACA